AATGGCTTAGAGTTGAGTATGACAATGAAAAGATTTAAAGTGAAAGATATTATTTGGGAAAAGAAAACATTAAGAAAAGTTTTTAAAGAATGGTGCATTGGGTTTTGAAATTTCCATCATTGAGAGACAGCAGGAATATGAAACTTACTGCCTTCAGTGATGCTTCTTATGTAAATCTCTGTAATGGGTTCTCAAAGCCAGGACAACTTATAATTTTACTTTTTTGGAGATGAGTTGAGTGTTATCTTTAGCTTCAGAAGAAATGAAAAATGTTTATTTAGCGATAGAAATCTCGCTATTACTGAGGTAGTAGAAACTATTTGTTTTTAGTGGAAATATTAGGACAAGTTCTGAAAGAGATTCAAAGCATTGGGTACAATGGGATGAAGGAAATTCTGGGAAAGCAGACCAATCAGATTTGTTGAGATGATCCTTTTTTGACTTGTCAGGATTTTCAGGATGATCCTTCCTTTCCAGATGTCTGATGGCTTCTCACCAAATATCATTCCCACAAGCTGTTCAGCTACCTGGAAACCAATCACATAGTTGTTGTCAGGCAGAATGCCTTTATCATCCTCAGTTCCCAGAACAATTAGCTACTTATTGCCAGCTGAATCTTCATTCCAACCACCTCAACAATCTGTTGCACGTTTGCAACTCGAATTTCCCTACTTCTTGAACAAACAATATTTCAAATGAGTGTCAAGTAACTTGCCTTCAAAACACAGCAATCCTTTTCACAATCCTTGATTTTTACGACAGTCCTTTTCCCGTTTCAGTTCACAATCAAAAATACAGAAAAATAAAGAGATATGAACTTTATTATTATGTGTATATCTATTCATTTTATTAAAAAATATAAAAAGGCTAAAAAGACTTTAAGTTATTATTTTAGAGACTGACAAGAATGCTTGAGACCAAGTGAAACTATGGAATAGATGACATTTATATGTTAACTGGGTGAAAATTGACTGAGTGTGTATATCGGGATTAAGGAGTTGGTAATATATTGCATCGTGTTGCATTAAATAAAACTCAGACCAGAAAAGCTAATGCCTGGACTCAATGGGACTAACATTTAACCTTTGGTATTTAACAGGGACTGCCAGCTTTCTAGAGAAAATCTGGCCTATTATCGTAGTCAGACTGCATGTGCCTATTGCCACCAGCTATGTTTTTTGTTCCAAAATTGTTTCACTCTCCTGGAAAGAACCCTTGACTATGCCCACTGATTGCATTAATCAATGTCAGTTACAGCTGGCTTTTTTGAGATAAGAGGGATTTTCCCCTGGTGTGAAAGCGTTAACTAGAATCACTTAATCATTCTTTATCAACACAACTGCAGAATTACCACTGAATGGAATAAAACAACTTGTGGGATTGGCATGGTGATGACCAGCAAAAGGATCGAATTACTGTGTCGGAGGAGGTAGAATCTCAAAGTTAAAATCTATAGGAGCAAAAGGAAATATACCCCTCTTGAGTGATTTTGAGATCCCAATGATGTAGTGGCATATGTTACCTGGCTGATTTTTCTGAAGACTTTAATCTACCCTTTTTCCTTTCAAGAAAAATCTCTAACTCTTGAAATCTATCCCAAAAAATAATTGAAAAACTGAATGAATTTGAAAAACAATTGACTGAGAGGTAACTGATGTTGCAGTTCCATACTGCAGGCCTTCCTGATGTTACTAATTTGTGTACCAAATGTGATGAAGACAATCCATACAAATGTGGGGTGGCACAGTGGCTCAGTGGTTAGCACTGCCTCGCAGCACCAGGGTCCTGGGTTCAATTCCAATGTCAGGCAACTGTCTATGTGGAGTTTGCACATTCTCCCTGTGTCTGTGTGGGTTTCCTACAGGTGCTCCAGTTTCCTCCCACAGTCCAAAGATGTGCAGGCTAGGTGGATTGGCCATGCTAAATTGCAAATAGTGTTCAGGGATAAGTGGATTAGGTGGATTATAGGGGGATGGGTCTGGGTGGGATGCTATCAGGGTTGGTGTGGACTTGTTGAGCCAAAGGGCCTATTCCCACACTGTAGGGATTCTATGATCTATGAACAAAGAAGGTTTATGTCCCATTATCAATGCTATCAATGTGCCATTCATCCAGATTGGGAGGGGGTATGGTCCTTAGCTCCCTCCTTTCATTATGAGTTTCAGTGCATTTCATCCATCTTTTGGCAGTTGCTGCAGTCCAAATGGAATCATAGAATCCCTACAGTGTGGAAGCAGGCCATTTGGCCCATCAAGTTTGCACTGACTCTCTGAAGAACATCCCACCCACACCAACAGCCCCTACCCTATAACCCTGCATTTCAATGGCTAATCCTCCTAACCTACACATTACTGGACAGTACAGGCAATTTAGCATGGCCAATCCACCTGATCTGCACGTCTTTGGACTGTGGGAGGAAATTGAAGCACCCAGGGGAAACCCACACAGACACAGGGAGCATGTGCAAATTCCACACAGTCACCTGAGGCTGGAATCAAGCCCAGGTCCCTGGTGCTGTGAGGTAGCAGTGCTAACGACTGAGCCATCGTGCTGCCCCATGCCATGCAGATATTTGGTGGTTTATTGTCCCTTGAGTTTTGCAAAGCTTTTCAAAAGAGACAGATGTGAAGTTCTGTGTGACTAGAAGTCAGTGTCCAGTGGCGTACCACAAGAATCAGTGCTGGGTCCCTTTTATTGTTTATGATATGTATAACTGATATAGATGAGAATGCTGGATGATGAGTAAGATTGTGGATGACAAAGATTGGCCAGTTACTTAATAATGAGGAAGAAGGTCTGATATAACAAAGACATAGACAGTCCGGTCAGGTGGGCAGATCAGTGGCAGATGAAGTAAAACCCTGAAAAGTGTGAAACGATGCACTTTGGAAGAAGTAACAAGACAAGGGAGTACTTGATGAATGACAGGACAATAGGAGGCTCAGAGGAACAGAGCGATCTTGAATTGCTTGTCCACAGCTTCCTAAAGGCAGCAGGACAGGTTTATAGAGTGGTAAAGAAGGCAGGCAGGATGCTTGCCTTTATCAGTTGTGGCATAGATTATAATGGCAGGGTGGCTTTGTTGGATATCTACAGGACTTTTGTTAGGCCACAACTGGACTATTGTGTGCACTTGTCGTCATCACACCATAGGGAGGCTATGATCACACTGAAAGGGGCGCAGATGAGATTCACCAGGATGTGGTCTGGGATGGAGCATTTTAGTTATGAAGATCGGCTGGATAAGCTCTGATTGTTTTCTTTAGTGCAGCGAAGGCTGAGGGGGGAGTCTGACTGAAATGTATAAGATTGAGGGGTATGAACCGGGCATATACGTAGCAGTTGTTCCCCTAAATTGAAGGGTCAATAACAAGGGGACATAATTTTAAGGTGAAGAGCAAGAGGTTTAAAGGGGATTTCAGGGCCCAGAGAGAGTTGGGAATCTGAATGCACTGCTTGGGAGGGTAAGAGAGGCTGGAAATCTCCACTTTTAAAAAATGTGAATGAGCACTTAAAATGTGTTAACGTTCAGGGCAGTAGGCCAAGTGTTGGACAGTAAGATTAATGTACGTTAGTGCAGACTTAATGGGCCAAAGGGCCTTTTCTGTGTAGTATGACTTTGGGGCAAGGAACTGCCGTGTCATGCACGCATTGTGGAATTATTAAAACATCAGTATGTGGAGAAATCCCAATTTCTAAATGTTCTGCTATTGGGACCCATTAATACCTGCAAGCCAAAGAGGATAAATCTCCCCTCAAATCTCTCTAGTTTCCTCCACCAAAATCACTATTCCCCTACTATGCGCTCAAATCAGTTGTTGTCCATATGCCATGGGCCCGAGTGTCAACTCGTGGCTGGAGCTCATCAACTGTTTCATGTTGTGCAACTGTTTTGCTCTTTTCAACAAAGAAAAAAGAAATGAAGAATAGTATAGCACAGGAACAGGTCCATTGGGCCACCAAGCCTGTGCCAACACAAAGCCTTTTGCTTTTACGTGATCTGTATCCCTCCGTTCCCTGCCTTTTCATGTGTATGTCAAGACTCCTCTGGAACGTTGTTATTGTATCTGCTTCTACCACCTCCTTTGGCAGCGCGTGCCAGGCACTTACTATGCTCTATGTAAAAATAAAGGTGACACTCACATCTACTTTTACCTTAAACCTATATTCTCTGGTAATTGATGTTTCTATCCCGGGAAAAAGCCTCTGACTGTTCATGCCTCTCATAATTTTGTAAACCTCTATCAAGTTGCCCCTCAGCCTGTGACATTCAAATGAAAACAAGCAAAGTTTGTCCAAACTCTCCTCATAGCCAATACCATCCAAACCAGGCAACATCCTGGCAAACCTTTTGTCTACCCTCTCCAAAACCTCTACATCATTCTGATAGTGTTATGATCAGAACCGTACACAATACTTCAAACGTGGCCTCACTAAGTTCTGTACAGCTGCAACATAACTTGCCAGTTTTTATATACTATGCCCCAATCGATGAAGGCAAGCATGCCATACGCTGTAGTGGTCCTGCTTTTCAACTTACCGCCTAACTTCCTGAAATCCATTTGCAGGACCTTGTCACTCTTCCTGCCTAAATCCTGAGTACCAATGTGTGCCACAACCTGTAGCTGCTCGCCATCCCTTTTGAGAATGCCTCCGAACGGGCACAGGACATTCTTAACTCTGGCACCAAGGAGGCAACACACCATCCTGGAGTCTCTTTTGTGACCACAGAAATGCCTAACTGTGCCCCTGATAGTCCCCTATTACTGCTGTTCTACTGTACTTTGACCCTCTCCTGCTGTACAACAGCTGCTCGAACTGCTGCTGTCATCATTCCCTGGTAATTCTCCCCAACAACATCCACGATTTCCTATGATTTAAATAAAAACCATAGCAATTGCATGTTGAATGGTGAAACATTTATATTAAAAATAAAGTTTGTTTCTGCAACAGCAAGTATGTATTAAAACAACAGACACATTTCTTTTTACTTTCGACAGGTCCTGTGCAGCAACAGTTTATTGGACTCGACGGAATATTGGTTACGGAATGAGAAGAAACTTTGTCAGGTTGGGTTCTTGGAAGATAAAGCACGAAATAGACGCCCAACGGTATGTGTAGTAAACAATTAAACAGAAGATTTATATCTACCAGCTCTGTAATAGTGGGTTTCTGAGGGGATTCGAATGATTCTATTTCTGATTAATATTGACTGACTAGGGATAAACGGTGAGGTAATTGTTGTGAAATAACCCAAGAGGAAGCCGTGTTACATGGAAAGTCAAAATTTCAACTCCTCTCATGTGAAAGGAGGAAAAAGCATTACTGGAAAGGAAACCATTTTGCTGGTGTTTCTGCAGAGTTCACGGCACTGATCAGGAGAACCCAATAGAAATCCAACGCTGGTCTGTTAACGTGTCTGAGATTAACTTTTGAACATATTTCCCTTAAAAGATCATTCGCACTCAGGATAAAGCATGGTGAAGGATTCTTCTTCACACATCTCATGAAATCATAAACCTTTTACTTCATAATTCCAGCTCTGCACCTGCAGGAATCTTGCCCTATTCTTACTTAATTGTAATACCAATCAGCAGGTAGGTCATGCTGCTTTGTCCAATTCTAGCTTTGGAAAATGCTCAGCTAAAGGCATTAAACGTGATTCCTGATTACAGGTCATTTGGCTCTCAAGAGAGACTAAGAAAATTCATCCATCCCCATTTGATAAAGAAAATTAATCATTGAAGTACCGGCAACAAAGTATCTGACTGGGACATAATCGCAGCAGAGGAGACAAGCCATTCTTCACACAGAGTGAAAACAAATTGGTTGGTTTATCTCTTTGTGGATCTCAAAATATTACTGCAACACTGTCAGAAAATGTGTGAAACCCAAACCGATTTAAATTCATGTAAATATGGTAAAGAATGGTGTCATGCTGGTTAAGAATGCGTGTGCATTGTATGTGCATTGTTCACCCTTCTGGACCTCACTAAGTTCTTGCATGATGTTCTACTTTGGAACAAGCTTTTTACTTCATTTTTCAGTGCATTTTACTGCTTTGTTTTGAGCAAAAGATTTTGTTTCTTTTTGCTTTTGTTTAGTTTCAGAAAAGGTAGAGTATGTTTAGATGGAAGTAAGAATAAGCCAATTCTTGATATCAGGTTCAACAGCTTGACACCATTCACAGGAGCTCAGAATGCAACAACACTTTCAGGTGCAAGCTCCAGGATACTGTGATGGTCACTGTATCTATTTAAAATGAATGATAAGCTTCACTATAAACACATTTTCAACATCACCAGATGGCTAGCAATTTTGAGAATGAAAAATGGTTTCTATTCTGTTCCATCATATTACACTCAACATGTGTTAAAGACAAACATTTTCCTCGATATTTCATGGTTGACGTGTTACAAGATAAAAGAAGGCTTGTCAGGGAGATCAGCAAGTATCAGAGCTGGACAATCTTCACACACCGTTTTTACGCCAGCCATATCTGGATCCCTGATGCATCTACCTAGCAATGATTAAGATAAACTACCACTTATAGACATTGATCAGTACAGAACCAGAGATAAAACAGGCTCTCACAATAGTGGAGAACAGCTGATGTATGTGTACTATCCTTTCTGGAGTAGATACTTAGGACCTTTCTATAGACTTAATTATTTTGTTGCTTTTCACTTTGGTTTTTGTGGCTCCATTACCAAGGAACTTTCATAGTTTGAACTAGCTTCATGTCACAACAGTTCACACGTGGAAATGTTCAGGAGATTAACACACACATATACTAAGGAGAATGTGGTGTGCAAATCCAAATGGCAGGCAACTATTCTCTACAGAATTGTCAAAAATAGCCTACATTTCTTTTACCTGTATCAGTTTGAGTGTTTTAGAGCTCTAGAACGCTGAAGCCTGGTGAAGGGGAACTGGGACATTTGAACTGTTAGACACCTTGAAGTATTGATATCATGCAAACATGATCAAGGAACAAGAGTAGGCCACTTGTCCCTTTTGGGCCTGCTCCACCATTCAATAAGATTGTGGATGATCTGATTTTAACCTCAGCTCTGCACAATATTACAGTAGGCCATGCATTCTGGCCTGAATTTCCATAGTGTAGGAGAAGCTCTCCTGCTTAGATAAAAGTTCCAATTCTAGAATTCCAGATCCTGAACCTGACACCCACCATTTTCAACAGGAAATAAATGAGCCAGGTTGTAGTTTGCATATCCCTTCTTTATGGAGACAAGTGCACTTATAAGCTGTGCACGTAAGTTATCCTCTGAGTTTTGAGGAGAAGGTTTTGAGGTGTTCTAGACAGGTTGAGTGAGTGAGCAAACACATGGCAAATGCACTACAAGGTAAAAGTGAAGTTCTACACTTTGGTGTGAAGTAATTAAAAAGAAGAGCATTATTTAAATGGTGATATATTGGGAAATGTGGATGTACAAGGGATTTGAGTATAAACGGATACACTATTAATGAAAATAGACAGGAAGGTGCAGCAAGCAATTCAGAAGGCAAATGACATATCGACCTTCATTTCAAGACAATTTGAGGTGAGAAGTAGGGATGGCTTACTGCAGTTATATAGAGCCTTTAGTGACACTGCATGTGGAGTATTCAATGTAGTTTTGGTCTCCCTATCTGAAAAAAAGGATATACTTGCCAAAGAGGGAGTTCAGTGTATATTCACAAGGCTGATACTGGGGATGGCAGGACTGTCCTATGAGGAGAGATTTGTTCGATTCTGTCTATGTTCACTAAAGTTGAAAAGGATGAGAGGGAATATGATAACAAATTTTTGGTCCTGTTTTCATACATGCATTAACCAGTGTATTTTAAATGGGTTAATGACCCACAAGTACAGTGGATAGAGGAATGTCATTTAAATGCATAAAGCATTTAATATCACAAATGCTAATCTCGGTTTACATTCTGTTTCTGATGCTTTTCGTGTTTGTATTGCCAAAACATCAAATTTCCAGGAACAATGCCACTATTTGATTCCCCCACTTTTACTTTGATATGTACACTATGTTTAATACCCTGTATGTGTATTGACATCCTGTCTTTACAGGAGAGAGAAAATACATGGTACTGGCAAATAGAGCACTCTGTGAAATGTAGCACCTACTGGTATTTATACATTCCCTTTCCACACATTTTACTGAACACACTTTAAACACTTGAGTGGCACATTAGAAAGAAACAATTTTGTTGCTATTTAGCACCTAGTTCTCTCCACAGCTGCTAACTGACCTGCTGTGTTTCTAGAAAGTTCAGCTGAAAGAGATTAAAGATAACTGACCGTGTAAAATATTTTAATTTTAAAGGTTCATGAAATTACAACACAGGAGGTCATCGTGCCAATGCCAACTCAAGAGCAGATGTTGATTCTACACCCACTTTCTACCCTGTTCCCTTTGAATTTTAGCAACTAATTGTGGTAAAGCATTCAATGTTCAAATAGTGCTGTGTGGAAAAAATGTTTAGCTTTCCCTTATAATTTTCTTGTTGATAATTTGAACTGTATGTTTCCTTGTTACTTACTTGACACCAAGCTAACATTGTTAGTTTTACAGTCAGTTTGTCAAGTTAAAGTGTAACGTTCCTTAAAAAATTATTCCCTAATTTTAAAAACACACTACTTCAAGCCTTTCTTCATAATAACAATTTTTCAATCTGGGCCATTGTCCAGTTTTTATTTTCATATTATCCTTCCTATGGCTGTAGTGCACTTTCTATAATGGGGTGCCAAAAATCCACTGTGACCCAGCCGATAACTTCCATAAATTTAGTTTTTTTTCTGCTCTTGAATTCACAGTTCCTGTATCTAAAATCCAGAATCCACTTTGTTATAACACTTTCTACTTGCTTTTCCAGCTTTAAAGCTCTATATACCTGCAACATTAGATATTTCCCTATTTCTTCCTTTGCTTACATTCACTGTTCCATTCCACGCAATGTAGCATTTCACATTTCTATGCATGGAACTGTATCTATCTGCTTGCACAAGCAATTTGACTATCTTGTGCTGTATTCCTTCTCACTGCTGTCATGCCTCCTAATTGTTGTCATAAGCATACATCAATATTATCCCATTGTGCCTTTATAGGCTTCGGATGGGAGGTTGAGATTGATATATAGCTGTTACTGAAGAATAAGTAATGTGATACAAAAAAAAAGGACTGGAAATATTCAACATCTGTGGAGTGTGATTTTGATTTGTAGTACATGTTAAAATTTGGTCTCTTGGACTTTAAAGAGGAAGAAAAACAGGTTCTAGTTTCAGATCTGTGAAAATAATTTTTTAACAAAGATCAGAAGTATTATTTAGCAGCAAACTAGAAACAGGTTTCCTGGGAAAGCATGTGATATAAGTTAAATGACTTGATCAGCTACTGGGGGAATTAATCACTGAATGTTTACAAATCTGAGTTTTATGGCATAGAAACAGATGGTCAGGGTCTACTAGAAGGTTGAGTTCAGAAGATGAAAAATGATCCTAGAAAAAGGGCTGCTTTGTAGTTTGCCTGTATCTTCAGACTGAGAATTTAGTCTGTCAAAATCATAGGTTGTCAGAATTGGAAAGCAGTCTTAAAACCTTGCGTGCTGAAAAACAAGTTTAAGCTACTTCATCAGTCCAGGAAGAAGGACTGGGAAGACTCATTTGAGTAGGAAATTAAAAACCGTAATACAGCACATTTTTTATTAAATGACATCTGTAGGACCAGAGTAGACCGGTTGATCATATATTTCAGTTGATCAAGAGGTCCACACAATCAATCAATGTAAAAACACACACTAAGTAATGGAAACATAATGCAGGGGGTGTACACATCACAGTTATAATTTATTTACAGCATAAATCACTTTAAATAATAATGCGACTTTGTCTTAAATAAAACTAAGAATTTACAGGCAAGACAAGATCTGGTAGAAAGTTTCAAAGGTTTCTTGTGGGATATCAGCAACCTTTATTTAAAGCTAATATGTATGCCAAAAACAAATGAAAGAACCGTGAATGCTGTAAATCAGAAGCAAAAACAAAAATTGCTGGAAAAACTCAGGAGGTCTGGCAACAGGCCTGTGAAGAGAAATC